TGAGACAATGGGTGGCAAATTATGAAAGGGAAAAGTAAGGGATGGCAAATTATCAAATCGCCCCAAATAAACATATCTAGGGTTGCTCCTCCGGCTGTCCCCTTCCCCTTGTCGTCCTCTCTCCTCCGGTACCAAATATAAAGCCGCCTCGTCTTCTCCCTATTCTACTGTCACAGCCTCTGCAAGTCTTTACCGTGTGCGCGAGTGTGTGTTACGGAGACGATGAATGCTGTTAAGTTGAAGGAGACGGGCAAGGGTGGCGGCGCGGCGGCGGCGGCGGCGGCGGCGGTGATCCTGGAGGAGCTGAGGAAGAAGATGGCCGACTTCGCCAGGGAGAGGGACTGGGAGAAGTACCACAGCCCGAGGAACCTCCTGCTTGCTCTGGTCCGCCCCTCTGACTCCTTTCTTGATATCTCCCCTCTGAACCTATCTTGGTTATTTAGCTTTTTTCTTTGTCCTTGTAGATTCAACTGGGGGCACGGTGAATTGCTGTTGGGGATCTTATTCTTTATGATCCTTATTGTTTGTAGCTGTTTTTATCCTGCTGCGTTTGATCTGTTTTTTTTTTACTTTTATCCTTCTGCCTTTGATCTGTTTTTTACTATAGTTCTAGGAATAGCAAATAATGGGCATGATTTTTCTTTCATATTCCATGAGGAAGGAAATCATTAATTGTAAAGATGTGTCTTCTTTTGGGCAAACTTTTTTGCTGCTTCTGCGACTCTTTCTAGTCTCCTTTTACATTCTCAAGGATGGTCAGCTCTTTATTTTGACTTCTGGGGAGGATCAGTTGTTGAAATTTGGCTTGCTCATGTTTTTACTGTCACAGAAAACACACCTGAAGTTATAATAACCCTGTATTCCTTTGACCTACCCAAATACTCCCTTCATTTTTATTTTACTCTGCATATTAGCTTTGTTTTAAATGAAACTTTATAAACTTGTTATTAACATCTACAATAAGCGGAGCAACTGCACAATTGCTCGCAAATTCCATATAATGTGTACCTTCCAAAACCACTTATATCATGATATAAACAGAGGTTTGTAATAGGTATGGTAACGTCACCCATCGTGTTGAAATGTCCTCTGTTTGTTTCGTATTATGAACCCATAAGTCATAATCATGATAATATTGGACTACTTGTTTTGTTTGTTTGCTCTTGCTTATATGAAGGCAAAACTAAGAATCAGTAAAGCAGGGATCCTTTTTTCATACTGTACTAGTATAGTACTACTACTGCCCTGTTTTGCCAACATTTGTGCTGCCAATAGAAAAGGCAAATGTTGGAAGTCTGTAGGCTGTAGCTACTTTATATGCACCTGTAGCTCATCTGCCTCTTCTGATCATGTCCAGTGGTGTAATGTGGTTTGTGATACGTTGTGGGTGGCAGGTGGGTGAGGTGGGGGAGCTCTCTGAGATATTCCAGTGGAAAGGGGAGGTGCCCAAGGGGCTGCCCGGGTGGGAAGAGAGGGAGACGGAGCACCTCGGTGAGGAGCTCGCCGACGTGCTCCTCTACCTCGTCCGCCTCTCGGACATGTGCGGTGTTGACCTGGGCAAGGCCGCGCTGCGCAAGATCGACCTCAACGCTCGCAAGTACCCCGCCGGGCCAGGCTGCAGGCCATCCAAGAAGGGCGTCCACTGCTCCGACGACACCGGTGACAGCCGTGATGATCACGGCGACGTGGTGGCTGTCGTCCGCGCCGACGAGATCAAGGAGGAACATGCTAGCTAACAGTGCGTCCTGAACCCTGAAACGTGTTGGTTCACCACTCTGAATTCTGCCTTGCCATAGGCAAGCATTTGGCTCACTGTCTAGTTCAATCATTTCGTTGGTTAGCAATGTGATCGGAACATCTGGGTTTCGTTAATCAAAAGGGTTGGATTTGCCTGCTCCACTGTCTTTTTATTATTTTTGAGTTGCTCCCCTGACCACGCCAGGTTTTCATGCTTACCTACGTGGAGAGAATTAACAATCCCTTCGTGGAATTTCACAACGATTACACCTAAAGTTTCGTACATAATTTAACAACTCACAAGTAAATAGGCCACGGCCAGCCAACCGATCACAAGTCATGAAATACAAAATCCTCTCAGGTTATGAACCTGTCCATAAGTCGGAGACCAACAACGGACCCCTTGTGCAATACTGCATTTAACAACAATACAGCAAGATACTATTCTGCCGCTCAGATAGCTGGTGTTCAGAAATTCCTTAAGGGCTCCTTGGGAATTTTGAAGGATTATGATTCCTAGGAATTTTATCTATGCTGATTGCTTGATTCATAGGCAGCGGCGTAGCCAGGCCAGGCAACAGGAGTGGCCTGGGGTGTGGCTGGCTGATCATTCGTTCTGTGTAGCCGCAGTACAACCATATGCCACTGTTCCGGACTGTAGCAACGTTGTTGGCCGGGGGCGTGGCTTCAGCCTATAGAAAATTTTCCCAACAATTTCTTTGTATTATTTTTCATATAATTTCTAGCATCCACACAAACCTCTTTGTAGGATTTCTAACATGACATTCCAATCTTATGTTTTTTTGATGTCACGTCGTGCCATAGACGACATTGATTTAAAAAAATGTGGACAAACGGTAAACCCGTACACCGGGAAAGTATCATGTGGTACAACCCCTTAAATGCTCCCATGATACTAATTTTGGAAAAAACAAATTTAAATGTTTTCAAAAATTCTGATTTTTTAATGCTCACAAGGTATGCTTCTACAACCCCTAAGAATATCATTCAAATTTGAAATACACACTGAGCAATAAAAATGACAAATCTAGCATAAATAGTGTCACAAAAAGACGAAAGCAAAATTAACACTATTCACATATGGATTTGTCGTGTTTTTTTAATGTGCATTTTGAATTTGGACATGATTTTTTTTGGGGTTGTAGACAAATTCCTTCTGAACATTCACACGTTTTTCTAGAATATTTTGAAACATTAAAATTTTAAAATTTTAAAAAGGGAAGACGGGAGCATGTGGGAGTTGGTATCACTGGATATTCTTTTCACGTACGCCTCCAGCTGACAGAAACATTAAAAAATCCACTACAATGATACAAATCCAAGTAGGCGCAGTCACAAATCCTAATGCTTGCCAAGCCTACCAGTGGATTTTTTTAGGGGAGTCCGGTGGACTTGAACGACACTAGAAGTGATTTTAATTCCAACCGAGTGCGGGTCAAAAAAATTCCAACCAAGTGAAATAGAAGGGCATTTGTAACATGCAGCCCCATTTTTTTGGCTTTCAATTTTCAATTTTTTATATCTTTTGAATCAAAAATCTAAATTAAGTTTGGTTTGTATAATTGTGTTTCGTGTGAGTTGCGACGATGGCTTTCAAATGAGATCCATTTGAATACGTTTTGAAGAGTTTATAAAACTTTGTTAAGTTTCAACTGTTGAAACTTGGTATGAGAGAGGACCGACAAAATGTAAGTTTTGGTAACTGCAATCGACATAATCTTAAGTTTCAGAAACTAAAAACTTGTTGTGACCTCATGCGGGATCCAACAACTTTTCGGACCGCGAGACAATCAGGTAACCGACACGACTGAGCAGAGGTGTGCACCCACACCTGTGTGCCGTGTGAGTTTTTGAAGTGGAAACTCGGTATACACGACACATATCGTTTTGCTCATATAAACCAATCAACGAGTTCTTTTTTTCCAGGAAAAATGCTAATTGTTAATGCTTAAGTCATGACGAACTCCGCCGTGATAATGTCACCAATAAGGTCTGGAGAAACATGAAACCAAGTCTTACAAATTTTATTTAAGCAACACTCTTGGATAAGGTATGAGTTGCTAGATTGGCAGTTCGTCTAGCTCAGCACACCTGATGCTCATGCCTTATGGCGAGAAGCTCTTTAATCTCTTTGACAAGAGAACATGGCGAGAAGCTCTTTATCTCTTCGACAATAGAACCAAAGGATGACTCATCCTCACATTAGCAGGAAACACTAGTAAGCCCCTTGCGCCTAGACCTCCCTGTCCAAACCCCCTCGCCGGCCTTTGGCCGGCGGTGACCACCAGTCGCTTAGCACGCGCTATTCCGGCCGTGTCAACCACCATTCCATCTGTTTGCCATGGCCCTTTTGGATCTCGCCTTCCATCCTGGGCTGGACTTTGAGGACAAGATGAGGAGATGCTTTAGTTTGGAGGGCAACAATGAAGGAAACATGCCCTAGAGGCAATAATAAAGTTGTTATCTATATTTCCATATATCATGATAAATGTTTATTATTCATGCTAGAATTATATTAACCGGAAACTTGATACATGTGTGAATACATAGACAAAACACAGTGTCCCTAGTAAGCCTCTACTAGACTAGCTCATTAATCAAAGATGGTTAAGTTTCCTAGCCATAGACATGTGTTGTCATTTGATGAAAGGGATCACATCATTAGGAGAATGATGTGATGGACAAGACCCATCCGTTAGCTTAGCATAATGATCGTTAAGTTTTATTGCTATTGCTTTCTTCATGACATATACATATTCCTTTGACTATGAGATTATGCAACTCCCGGATACCGAAGGAATACCTTGTGTGCTATCAAACGTCACAACGTAACTGGGTGATTATAAAAATGCTCTATAGGTATCTCCGAAGGTATTTGTTGGGTTGGTATAGATCAAGATTAGGATTTTTCACTCCAAGTATCGGAGAGGTATCTTTGGGCCCTCTCGGTAATGCACATCATGATAAGCCTTTCAAGCAATGTGACTAATGAGTTAGTTGCGGGATGATGCATTACAGAACGAGTAAAGAGACTTGCCAGCAACGAAATTGAACTAGGTATTAAGATACCAACGGCCGAATCTCGGGCAAGTAACATACGGATGACAAAGGGAATAACGTATGTTGTCATTACGGTACGATCGATAAAGATCTTCTTAGAATATGTAGGAACCAATATGAGTATCCAGGTTCCGCTGTTGGTTATTGACCGGAGATGTGTCTCGTTCATGTCTACATAGTTCTTGAACCCGTAGGGTCCGCACGCTTAATGTTCGATGATGATTTTGTATTATATGAGTTATGTGATTTGGTGACCGAATGTTGTTCTGAGTCCCGGATGAGATCGCGGACATGACGAGGAGTCTCAAAATGGTCGAGAGGTAAATATTTATATATAGGACAATGATATTCGGACACCGAAAGTGTTTCGGGGCATACCGGGTACATATCAGAGTACCGGGGGGGGGGTTACCGGAACCCCCCGGGGGAATAATGGGCCTTATGGGCCATAGGAGGGAAGCACACCAGCCCACAAAGGGTGGTGCCCCCCCCCCCCGCCAAGGAAGGAGGCCGAATAGGAGAAGGAGGTGGGGGTTCGGCCCCCCTTTCCTTCCTCCCCCTCTCTTCCCTTTTCCCCCTTTCGGTAAAAGGAAAGGGGGGAGGCCGAATTGTACTAGGGGCCCAAGTAGGATTCCTCCTACTTTGGCGCCCCTTGGCTGCCTTCCCTCCCCTCCAACCTATATATACATGGGAGGCACCGCTAAAGCACACAACATTGATTTCAAGCCGTGTGTAGCGCCCCCCTCCATAGTTTACGCCTCCGGTCATATTGTCGTAGTGCCTAGGAGAAACCCTGCGCGGATCACTTCACCATCACCGTCACCACAGCGTCGTGCTGACGAAACTCTCCCTCGACACTTTGCTGGATCAAGAGTTCGAGGGACGTCATTGAGCTGAGCGTGTGTAGAACTCAGAGGTGCCGTACGTTCAGTGCTTGATTGGTCAACGAGAAGAAGTTCGACTACATCAACTGCGTTGTCAAACGCTTCCTCTTTCGGTCTACAAGGGTACTTGGATACACTCTCCCCCTCTCGTTGCTATGCATCTCCTAGATAGATTTTGAGTGAGCATAGGAAATTTTTGAAATTGCATGCTATGTTCCCAACAGTGGCATCCGAGCCAGGTCTATGTGTAGATGATATGCACGAGTAGAACACAAAGAATTGTGGGCAGTGATCATCATACTGCTTACCACCAATGTCTTATTTTGATTCAGCGGTATTGTTGGATGAAGCGGCCCGGACCAACCTTGCATGACCACGTTCATGAGACCGGTTCCACCGACAGACATGCAACTAGTTTTGCATAAAGGTGGCTGGCGGGTGTCTGTTTCTCCAACTCCAGTTGAATTGAATTTGACTGCGGTGGTCCTTGTTGAAGTTTAAACAACAAACCTGATAAATCACCGTTGTGGTTTTGATGCGTAGGTAAGAACAGTTCTTGCTAGAAGCCCGTAGCAGCCACATAAAACTTGCAACAACAAAGTAGAGGACGTCTAACTTGTTTTTGCAGGGCATGTTGTGATGTGATATGGTCAATACATGATGTGATATACGTTATTGTATGAGATGATCATGTTTTGTAAAAGTTATCGGCAACTGGCAGGAGCCTTATGGTTGTCGCTTTATTGTATGAAATGCAAACGCCATGTAATTGCTTTACTTTATCACTATGCGTTAGCGATAGTTGTAGAAGCAATAGTTGGCGAGACGACCACGACGCTACGATGGAGATCAAGGTGTCAAGACGGTGATGATGGAGATCATGACGATGCTTTGGAGATGGAGATCAAAGGCACAAGATGATGATGGCCATATCATGTCACATATTTTGATTGCATGTGATGTTTATCTTTTATGCATCTTATTTTGCTTAGTACGGCGGTAGAATTATAAGATGATCCCTTACTAAAATTTCA